TGTATATTGATTGATTATGCTTGTGGCAGCAAAGGTGGCCATAGATGTGAGGAAATTGTGAATCATATTTAGAAATTCAAGCTTGAACCAAGAGGTAAGCATGTATAGTGACTACAATAAGCTTTGGTTGATTAAAGTGTATGGATTGTGTGATAAATGCTTGTAAGTAATGTTGATAAAAACTATGAGATTTAGTTAAGGATTATTGGTTGATATGATACCATGTATGAATGCAATTAAATGTATTGGGTTGGTATAATTGCTAAGAAGAGTAAAAGAAAGAAAACTTTGTCATGGTGGCATGATAGACAAGATAACGAGAGACCGACAAGTAGAAATTAGTGAGATACACACTTGAATCAATAGCGATGTAGCATCCTGCTATTGTATGGTGAGTAAGGGGTGTCCATTTTAAAATTTTCTTAATTATATATATATATACGTGTTCGTTTACTTTAAGCACAAAATTATGGAAAGCATGAGCTGGTAGAAATGCTAGGGGATTGTGAATGCCTTAATGTTTGAAAGTGTTTTGACTATATATGTATAAGTTATATACATAAAGGGTTTTAAATTAGGAAACAAGCCTTTTAACACGGATTATGCCAAAATGTGCCTTACTGTTTGTGTGATGTGCATTCATGAACTAATCACAAATTCACCATGCTGATTTGACATCTAAAACTCATGCAAAAGGTTTTACATTGCAAAATGTTACAAAAGGGGTTTTAGTATACTATTGTGATTAGTATTTTGAAAATGATTTGAAATGATCCTTTGAAAACCAGATTTGGCTTTCAAATGGTTTTACTAAACCGGGAGATTTAAGTGTAGGAAGGCTGTCACCTCAGTTAAGTGTGACCTATGTGCACAAGTGAGCTCTAGCTAGAGAACCTTCGGGTCTCTAACGGACTGTTAGACACGGCTGAGGCTATGGTCTATGATAGACGTGGAACGGCCACGGGTTATTATATGTGGTTAGGCCACAAGTGACATTCGTGATTGCGATCGCTTGATTTCTTCAATGTCAGCCAACATCGTCGAGACTATCATGGAATGTGGGAATCCAGTGGAGTAGTACTCTCGGATTGTTATTACGTGGAAGTGGGTCCACGGGTTGATATTTACGATTACCTACTCAAGAGTGATATCTCTTTAGGTTTTCAAACATGATTTCTTTCACATGGTGAGAAATATGAGCTTTTCTCGTAGCTCCCCTATTTGATTAAAAGCTTTCAGTGCCTTATACATTGATCATGACTTAATGTCGTTGTGTTTAATACCTCGCTGATGAGATGATTTATGAGCTTGTGCATAAGCTTTGACAATATTTAATTTCATGGGAGCGTGAGTTATTATATTGATTTGATTTTAGTAAAGATATTAACTAATTTCAACAGTAGAGATCTTTTACTTACACCAGTTTACCGTATTACTTGAAATTATTATTTTACATCACAACTTTCGGGTTTAAATGTAAGGCACAAATATCCTATTTGAATATAAGTGGTTTATATATATATTCATATGTTTTAATATTCCAAACTTCTGCTCTTAGCTTGTTTCCCATCTGTACCCTACTCACGGAGCCGATGATCATTGAGTCTATGAGACTCACCCCCTTATTTTTC